TAAGTCCTTTCTCTTCTACCCTGGGATGTTTGGATATCTAAGTCCTTTCTCTTCTGCTGTGAGATGTATAGGAACCTTAAAGGGTATCCTGGACTGTAAAGTCACTTTAGAGTTTTCTGCTTCTATCCTGAGATGTAAAGATAAATTCTAGTCATTTCTTTTCTGTCAATGTTGCGCTACGGTCCTTTATCTTCTACCCTGGGATATAGAACTATAGTCCTTTCTCTTCTACGCTGGAATGTAGAACTATAGTCATTAATCTTCTACGCTGGAATGTAGAACTAAAGTCCTTTATCTTCTTTCCAGGGATGTAGAACTACAGATCTTTATCTTCTATTCTGGGATGTAGAACTATAGACCTCTATCTTCTATCTTGGGATATAGAACTGTAGTCTTTTATCTTCTATCCAGTGATGTAGAACTATAGTCCTTTATCTTCTATCCTGGGATATAGAACTATAGTCCTTTATCTTCTATAATGGGATATAGAACTATAGTCCTTTATCTTTTGCCCTAGATTCAGGTACCTTAGTTATTTCTCCTTTTTTCCAGGGATCCATTCCCTAACCATTTTCTGTATGTAAACTTATATAAATGGAGTGGTCCATCTCTGACTTCAAATGGCTTTATTCAGGTCATGTTTACGGCATAGATTTTGACAAGATCATTATCCTCAAGTATATTGCTGACTGGCGTGGGCAATCATGCCTCACCACAATCTGTGATCTTCAGCAGTGTGTATCAGTTTGAGTGCTGACACCCCTCCATGCCTCACCACAATCTGTGATCTTCAGCAGTGTGTATCAGTTTGAGTGCTGACACCCCTCCATGCCATGTCTAACATCATCTCATGTTGTCTTCCTCTGTTTCTCTTTCCACGGGTCTTTCTTCTGGTCACAAGATGTTCTAGTTTTTTTGCTCATAACATGACCAAAAAATGATGACTTCTTTCTGATGTCTATGATAAAAAATTTTTGGACTCTCGCTTCTTTGGAAATATCTGGTTTGCTCTTTTTGGCTGTATGGAAATATTCTGCATGCAGTCATATCAACTCTTGAACCATACATTCATGAAAATAAGATTTGCTCCCCATGGCCTGCAAATGTGGGTTCCCCATTTTGGGGTGTGGGGAAAAGGTGGGGGGAGCTAAATGACTCACTGCCCCTATAACGAGTGTGTCTTAAAGGTGTCTAATTAGGGGTGTTTCCTCCAAAATCATAGTACATCTGCCAGAGAGGCAAGAAACCAAAAGTCTGCATACAGATAAGCCAGATCTGTAAAACAGATGTGCATGCAAGACTAGTGCATTTCATTTCTCTGGGTCACCAAGGTGTTTCCGATATGGAGGTTATGGTCATCAAGTCTAGCCACTCTGTAAGTCTGTGAGCTCTTAAGAACTGCCTTATCTATCTAATAGGCTCCAACCTGCTCAAGGGACTTAATGTCCAAAACAGCTAATCTAACACTGTGGAGTTACGGCCTTTTCCCGTCACAGCTAGTTCTGGCTAGTATTCATTTCCGGTGTTCACACGCTTGTCAGAGCTTCAAGTGGCCAGACAGACATGTGGATTCCTCTTGGAGACACCAGTTCAGTTGAGGGATTTTTCTGTATTCTTGTTCGTATTTAGGACATTGTCTATTTGTGTAATGTACTGATGAAGGCTTTATAGCCGTAACATTAATATGTCATGTGTGATATTGTAAAGCGGACTAATTCTACTTCTCATTCTGTTTTCTATCTGTTCATGATCTTCTTCTTCTTCTACCTTTCTAACACCCACTGGAGCATAGGTCCCCAGCCAACTTACGCCAAGTTCTATTCTTCCCTATCGCATGCAGCTCTCCCTGTGTTCCCCCCCCCCCCCCCCCCCATATTTTTAACTTCACTCTCTAGCTCCCTTCTCCATGTTTTTTTTTTTTTTGCCTTCCTTTATTTCTATGCCTCTGTGGGTTCCAGTGCAAAGACATTATAGTTATACTGTTCTAGGTTTTCTCAACGTGTGTCCTATCCAACGGCAGTGTCTTTTCTTCACCTCTTGGTCCACTGGAATGTGCTTAGTTCTCTCCCAAAGCACAAAATTAATGATTCAATCGTAAAACTGTATTCCCTCTCTTCTGCAGAGGCACCCGTTAATGAATGTGTGTAGTTTATTAGTAATTGCCTTAGTTATTACCCACATTTCCGCCACATACAAAAGTACTGATTTGACATTATAATTAACAAGTTTTAGTGTAGTATTAGTTTTAATTTTTCTGACCTCCACTAATTCCCGAGCGCAATGAAAGCTCCTCTCACCTTTCATATTTGTTTTTTAATATCTCTATCAGTTCCCCCATCTTTATCTACATTACTGCCCAAATAAGTGTATGACTCCACGTCTTGGAGTGGGATACCACTAAGAGAAACCACATTACTATTTGCCTGATTTATTCTCATTATCTTTGTCTTTCCCTTATGGATTATCAGACTTAGTTGTGATTTCGCATCAAGTATATTTAATTTATCTCGCATCTGATTCCGTGAGTGAGACAGAAGAGAAATATTCGCAAAGACCAGATCATCAAGCTGTTTTGTAGGGGTCCACTGAATTCCATTCTCCGTGTTAGCAGTTGCTGTCTTCATAATCCTACTGCCAGTAAAATGACAGCAGAAGCAAAACAACAGCAGAACACTTACTATGTGAAGAATACATCCGAGACTAGCAAATATATCAGTCATGCATCAAACAACTTTAGTTTAATGATGCTGTTACATCAGAGTGAAATGTAAAGTGAAATTTTATCTGCATGCAAATGTACATAAATGAATGAAACACTGTCATCATTATCATCAGGTGCCTTGCCGACTGGCGTGGGCGGTCATGCCTCTCCACAATCTGCGATCTCCTGCAGCATGTATCAGTTCGTGTGCCAACACACCTCCATACCATGCAACAAGACTGTCAAGCAGAAACACTAAAAACACCATATAATGAAAACATATGCTGCTCAATATATGTAATATACATTTTGAGTCCTTCAACCCGAGAAGCCTGCATCTAGTCATTTCCCATTGTGCTACTCTTTGTAAATGCCATTATATGGTCATGTCTGCAGTGCCCTGTTCTCGTCAAGCGTAAATTTCAGTGATCCCACAAGGGCCACTACAGTGGTTAATAGGCCGGGATATGAATGCAAAAACTGAAAAATTGCATGTATAGGGGTTTCCGGTTAGTTCGACATTAGTCTCCCCAGACCCGGCTCATATACACACTAGCTTACTTCTGATTGATAGTTCCCGAGTCCCGTAACCTTCGCACATGGTTACAGGGATGTTCTGCAATGCCGTTGATATCGTGTGGTGTATATTTCAGCACGCCAGCACTTTTAGAAATTGGGTCTAACACAACTCCCCCTAGATAGTGCTGCAACCAATGTCACAGGCATTCTCTTTCTCAGAATAAAAACGTAAATGCAAGACATCGCAGAAACCAGACAACAGAGCGGGACACACCCATAACCTTCAGGAAAGTCGACCAGCCCAACAAACTTGTGAATGAAAAGTGACCTACTCTATTTGGGGAGACTAACGTCGAACTAACCGGGTTTCCTTATGACCCCAGTGGCTTTTTTAAATGGCATGTTAATGTCAGATTGACCTGTCTCATTGATAGGAGCCACCTGATACTGTTGTCTTTTTATGCCCTATAGAATGAAAGTAAAAAAAGTAAAGTTCCCTTTTCACGACTTTAGGAGTATCGGGCATATGGGAAGAGTGCCCATATTTTTAAAGACCGATCAGCACTAGGTGAGTAATGTGGTCAGCATTATGCCAGCCGTCTTTACTTCCCCAGGACATACATCCTAGTACCCAATTTAGGCTAGGTCGACCTAGGACGCCCCATAGCATGGTGGGTTTCGGTCGCTGTATGTTGGAATTACGAGTCGGACTCGCAACGCCTAAGCAACGGAACGGCCACCGCCCTATAGAATGCATGCCATTTAATGCTTCACTTGACTCATGTTTATTGATATCCCATTTATATATCTTTGCATATTATGAATTTAATCAAAACACACAAAAATGTTCTAGTGAATGGTGTAATGTGCTTTTTAAAAAGGATCTCCCCTTGGAAATTTCTGTGCTTTCTGACCTTTTTTGTTTGTTGCTTTAAGCATTAATGGATCAAGAGAAATAATAATGATTTCTATGTCAAAAAAAACATGAACTATATGAATGATTTTTTTTTAAAGAAATAAACAAAATATTTTGATTATGTACTTTCCATGAGGGAACTGGGTGAAGCACAGATGCTACTAGCCAACCTAGGCGTCCTGTGCTGTGAATCCCCCTTGAGGCAGGTATTTATGCTTCCCTGACTTAAGCTCCCCGGGCAACTCAGGCTTACCTGAGTACCAGGAAATATATAGGAAGTAAAGGTAGACGTGTAAGTTTATTTTTATAGTTCATGCCGTATGGCACTGGAAGAAGAGGCTCTCCTAGACTTATGACTGAGTTCTGTTCCAACTAACAAGTTGTGAGTCAAAACCATCTAAGTTTATATTTTTCAGCAGTTTTCATTGGCAGGGGTTATAAAAATTGTACATAAAACACAAAAATACAATCTATGTACCTGTAATTATTGTATACAGTATGAAAATACGTAACACATACTCTTTTGCATCAGTTAAAAAACCCTACCAGTGTAGTTTTCTTTCTTCATTTGCTTTTTTTTTCTGGTGTGGTCAAGAAGAAGGTGTAATATCTATCAAAACCTAGTTTCTTGTTTAATTTCACTATATTCTGACACAGATGATCTTCCGTGCCATGATGTAGATGGAGTAGATGCATGGCAAACATTGATCAATAAAGAAGTCACAACACAGAACCCACAAAAGAACATTCATCACTTTGTAATCAGCAAAAAACTTTTAAACAAAAACAAATTATGTATCACAGATATAATGAAACCATAATATCACTAAAGATATGTTGCCTAAATGAAGCTAAAGTGTTGGGTCATCGAGAAGATGTGCCGTGCTTGCTGCCAACGTAATTTAAAATGGCTGACTGAAGCGCCTGGACACGCTGGGCTTCTTCCTCTCGTATACGCACCAGCTCCAGCTCTCGACCTTTTAACTTTTCTTCCAGTAACACTATTTCTCTTTCCTTCTCCTCGACAACTTTCCGATATTTCAACATTTGTTCTGAAATAGAGAGAGGTTACAGAAAAAACACATGAAACAGTAATAGTTTAACATTTATATTTCAATAAACAACATGCAAAACCTAAATGCATGAAGAACATGACCACAGATCCACTGACTACTTCCATGACTACAGTCCTACCACTGCTTTAATGACTACAGTCCTACTGACAACTTCCACAACTACAGTCCTACAGACTATTTCCATAACTATTGACTACTTCTATGACTACAGTCCTACTGCCTATGACTACAGTCCTATTGACTACTTCTATGTCTACAGTCTTACTGACTACTTCTATGACTACAGTTCTACCAACTACTTACACAACTACAGTCCTACTGGTTATGTCCATGATTACAGTCCTGCTGACTACTGGCCTAATGACTTCTTCCATGACTACAGTCCTACTGTTTACTTCTATGCCTACAGTTCTGCTGACTTCTATAACTTAGTCCTACATGACTACTTCAATGTCTACAGTTCTACCTTTCATTTCACTACTTCCATGACTACTTTTATGACTTCAGTTCTACCTGTCATCTGTTTACTTCCATGACTACAGTCCTAATGGTCATCTGTTTACTTCCATGACTACAGTCCTAACTGTCATCTGCTTACTTCCATGACTACAGTCCTAACTGTCATCTGTTTACTTCCATGACTACAGTCCTAACTGTCATCTGTTTACTTCCATGACTACAGTCCTAATGGTCATCTGCTTACTTCCATGACTACTTTTATGACTTCAGTTCTACCTGTCATCTGTTTACTTCCATGACTACAGTCCTAATGGTCATCTGTTTACTTCCATGACTACAGTCCTAACTGTCATCTGCTTACTTCCATGACTACAGTCCTAACTGTCATCTGTTTACTTCCATGACTACAGTCCTAACTGTCATCTGTTTACTTCCATGACTACTTTTATGACTTCAGTTCTACCTGTCATCTGTTTACTTCCATGACTACAGTCCTAATGGTCATCTGTTTACTTCCATGACTACTTTTATGACTTCAGTTCTACCTGTCATCTGTTTACTTCCATGACTACAGTCCTAATGGTCATCTGTTTACTTCCATGACTACTTTTATGACTTCAGTTCTACCTGTCATCTGTTTACTTCCATGACTACAGTCCTAATGGTCATCTGTTTACTTCCATGACTACTTTTATGACTTCAGTTCTACCTGTCATCTGTTTACTTCCATGACTACAGTCCTAATGGTCATCTGCTTACTTCCATGACTACAGTCCTAACTGTCATCTGCTTACTTCCATGACTACAGTCCTAACTGTCATCTGTTTACTTCCATGACTACAGTCCTAATGGTCATCTGCTTACTTCCATGACTACAGTCCTAACTGTCATCTGTTTACTTCCATGACTACAGTCCTAATGGTCATCTGCTTACTTCCATGACTACAGTCCTAATGGTCATCTGTTTACTTCCATGACTACAGTCCTAATGGTCATCTGCTTACTTCCATGACTACAGTCCTAATGGTCATCTGCTTACTTCCATGACTACAGTCCTAACTGTCATCTGCTTACTTCCATGACTACAGTCCTAACTGTCATCTGCTTACTTCCATGACTACAGTCCTAACTGTCATCTGCTTACTTCCATGACTACAGTCCTAACTGTCATCTGCTTACTTCCATGACTACAGAATTAAATTACTACTTCCATGAATACTGTCACTTGCCTACTTCCATGAATACCATCACCTGCCTACTCATATGACCTTAGCCTTCCCCTTCCCCCCTTTTAAACTACTTTCATGATTACAGTCAGATACAATATTTGGCTATCAAACTCCACATTCACACCAACTGCACCAGTCCCTGACATTTGGCGACCAGACTCCACAGTCATACTGATTACGCTAATACCTGACATTTGGCTACTAGACTCCACATTCATACTGATTATACTAATACCTGACATTTGGCTGCCAGACTCCACATTCTCACTGACTGCACCAATCCCTGACATTTGGCTACCAGACTCCACATTCACACTGATTACACTAATACCTGACATTTGGCTACCAGACTCCACATTCATACTGACTGCACGAATCCCTGACATTTGGCTACCAGACTCCACATTTATACCGCTTACACTGATACCTGACATTTGATGACTAGACTCCACATTCACACCGACTGCATCAATACCTGACATTTGGCTATCAGACTCCACATTCATACTGACTGCACCAATCCCTGACATTTGGCTACCAGACTCCACATTCATACCGCTTACACTAATACCTGACATTTGATGACTAGACTCCACATTCACACCGACTGCATCAATACCTGACATTTGGCTATCAAACTCCACAATCGCACCGACCACACCCCTACCTGACATTTGGCTATCTACAGATGCCAGTTTGTCCCTCAGTTCTGCTTGTGTTGCCCTTTCTTGGTCTAGCTTGTTCTGACATCTGGTCAGCTCAACCTTGACCTTCTCCACTTCTGCCATTGTGTAGTTGCTCTTCTGTGCTAGTTCCTGAACACAAAAACCAGGGTTCAATTCATGGGATACAAATTTCTCTCTGAATACTGGTTTTAGATTTTCACATTTACGGCCTATGATGGTAGTACAAGCAGCCTGGGAAAGTTACTTCTGTCATATCCTGAGGAAAGAAATCACATGCCTTGACTTCTCAGGTAAAGGTTCAGCGAGCACATTATCATCATTAAGAAGTCGACCCAGCCTCAAATGGGTACTGGGATGTATGTCCTGGGGAAGTAAAGACGTCCGGCGTTATGCTGACCACATTACCCACCTAGTGCCGATTGGTCTGTAAAAATATGGGTGCTCCTCCCATATGCTTGATGCGCCTAATGGCATGAAAAGGGATATTTACTTTTACTTTTTTCTTTCTTTTTACTAACAGAAGAAGAGTCAGCAGAAGGAAGAAAAATATACTGATTTCTTCTTCTTTTCATTCGCCCGAGTGATGTAAATGCGTTGTGCCTGTTTACAGCAGAGCTGTAATATTTGTGCCTTTTGGCTGAGATATCCGACTTCATCAAGCATTTGTTGACCGGGTCAACCTCCCGGATAGTTTCGTGGGACAGGGACATATTGTGTCCTTATTTGTGTGGGACTTCGATGGCCACACAAACAGGTACATTTTCTTCAACTGGAGACTTAGCAAGACGGTATGGCAGAGGCGTGGCTCCTCCTTTTTGATGCCGACATTCTGGCGAATGGGGCCAATGGTGACAGACATGTGAACTTTTCTGCTGATCTGTAGGCAAATTTTTTCAGTCGGACATTCAGGACTTTGTTTCTATGTCATAAGACAAGCATCAGATGGGCATTTCAACTAAACCAGCACACTGACAGTTTATCATAGTGTTCCCCAGTGTGGCCATGTCGATGTTGAGGAACAGCAAAGGGATGTTCGGAGACAGGGCTGTTCCATGAGTTACCACAAGCAAGAGATATTGCGCGTCTAGGTTTTTTGGGCTGCATCTCAGCAGTACAGTAGTTCTTCCACTTGACAGACATTTTAACCAAGGGCTGTCATTCAGTAGGTTTTTCCCCCCGGCTAGTGGACTTTTCCCATGCTCCAAATGGGGCCTGATAAATGTTTTACCCGTGCTTTGGGGGGTGGGATGATGACAGCCAGACTGGACACTACATCTCTGAGACCGCCGGCCAACTCGGCTCAGGTCACAAAGATGAGCCCATGGATGTGCCGCAGGAGTCTTGCGTGAGGATCCCTAAAACCATCCAAGACCCGGCTAGCGCTTGAGGTGAGGCACAGAGTAACTCCTTATACAAATCACAATGGCTGGATCCACAACTAATTCCTCATTCCCACACATGTTTATTAATCTAACCTCATGTCTTCTGTCAGATTTCATTCACAAATTGTTTTCACTATGTTTCCTTTGTCCAGTGAGAGTGTTGCCCTAGCTATTGATTTTGTAGCCAGAGAATCTGCTCATTTATTCCCCAGCAACGATGCATGTGGCAAATGATGATAAAGAGTAAATTTTGCATGTGTATTCCCCATCTTGAGCTCTGCAGTCCCATTTCCTGCTAACCTGATGTCACTAGTAGCTCCCAGAATACAAAACAAATACCACAGTTGGATCTACAAGAGGCATACCAGAACTAGACCTCCAGGCACTGGTAAGTGTAAATCTGGAAATCTCTTGGTACCAAACACAACTCGGATCACAACAATTATAAAGCGAGAAGGCCTGAACACAACTCACACACCATAAACTACATAGTGAGAGAACTAACCTGATTAAGCTCGTCCCTTTGCCTGTGCAGTGCTTCAATTTCCAGCTGCAAGTTGCTGTTCTTGTGCTGCAGCTGGGTGATAGTCGCCGTCTGCTGGTTGCAGTGGCTCTGCAGCTCATCCCGGCTAATCTGCAACACCCGGATCTTCTCCTCCAGCAGCACATGGCGCTGCTCCTGCAACAATTGATTACCCATATCAGATCAGAAAGTGAAAGCTCAACATGTCTTACAAAAGATCACATTAATTCAGTTGACACACCTTTGGGCTTGGAGATGACAGTTTAGCCATGTCTTACAAAAGATCACATTAATTCAGTTGACACACCTTTGGGCTTGGAGATGACAGTTTAGCCATGTCTTACAAAAGATCACATTAATTCAGCAGACACACCTTTGAGCTGGGAGATGACAGTCTAGCCATGTCTTACAAAAGATCACATTAATTCAGCAGACACACCTTTGGGCTGGGAGATGACAGTTTAGCCATGTCTTACAAAAGATCACATTAATTCAGTTGACACACCTTTGGGCTTGGAGATGACAGTTTAGCCATGTCTTACAAAAGATCACATTAATTCAGTTGACACACCTTTGGGCTTGGAGATGACAGTTTAGCCATGTCTTACAAAAGATCACATTAATTCAGCAGACACACCTTTGAGCTGGGAGATGACAGTCTAGCCATGTCTTACAAAAGATCACATTAATTCAGCAGACACACCTTTGGGCTGGGAGATGACAGTTTAGCCATGTCTTACAAAAGATCACATTAATTCAGCAGACACACCTTTGGGCTGGGAGATGACAGTTTAGCCATGTCTTACAAAAGATCACATTAATTTAGCAGACACACCTTTGGGCTGGGAGATGACAGTTTAGCCATGTCTTACAAAAGATCACATTAATTCAGCAGACACACCTTTGGGCTGGGAGATGACAGTTTGGCCATGTCTTACAAAAGATCACATTAATTCAGCAGACAAACCTTTGGGCTGGGAGATGACAGTTTAGCCATGTCTTACAAAAGATCACATTAATTCAGCAGACACACCTTTGAGCTGGGAGATGACAGTTTAGCCAATATTCTATTGCAGCTTCCTCTGGAGACGGCTTCATAAAACATGAGCAAACAGGTACAATTGCCTTGAACCTTCACAGCTAAAGATGAGATTTAAAATAAAACTTAAAACTAAAAAAAAGGTTAAAGGTTAAGGTTGAGATGGCTGACTTCTCAGCACTGGGTGTATCCTACACAGCTCAGTTTCTCTCTTTTCAGAATGGCTCTTTGCATGTGCCCAGGAAGTTGCACAAACTCTGTGGGTCTGGCAAAGAACCCCAGGAATCTCCCAAGCTGCACTCATGAACTGAATGGTACAGATAAGAAAAAAAAACCAGGAGGTTCAGAAGGTGAGGCAAATGGCTTGGCCACTCCACCAGAGCCCCAGCGCCCCCCCCCCCCCCACCACCACAAAAACCCACATAAAGTAAATAATGATGGACATGGAACTCTTACCTCTTCAGACTTGAGTCTGTGCTTGATAGATGCAATCTGCTCCTCAGCATTGAGCTTGTCTGCCACATTCATTGCTTTGAGTCGACTTATCTCTTCTTCCATATCAAGACGTTGTGATTCCAATTTGTTTATTCGATCCCGCAGAATTTTCTCCATCTCTTCACTCTCTTGTTTAATGCGGGCTATCTAGTAGAACAGTAAGAATAAATACAGGAATCATTTACAAAATGATACAACAATTACACAAAGTATGATGGTGTTGCAACTGTGTCAACAAACACAGCGGTGCAAATCATATTTAAATGCTGCATCACTACTAGTGCAACTGTTTCTTTGGCATAGACGTAAACATGGCATGGCGATGAAAATGAACTGGTTATACAGGATGACTGTCCATCTACTGCTCCACCTATTCACACTGATATGCTTCCACGGTGGTGTCACATGAAAGGGAACACCTAGCCTCGACTTGACTTGAGTCCACAACATATGCCTTCAGCCTCCTGGCCCACTCTTGTGGTCACCAGTAGCCATAATGACCGCTTCGGTTACGTGCGCACACTTTGGGTCAACAATAACCTATACATAATAACTGACTAGAGACTCTGCCCCAGGCACACCAAGTCTCCCGACACAGTCGAATCAGAATCCTGCCGAGGGATTCTGTCGATCACAGTGTCAAATAACATGTTGGGATCTCAATGCCTTTCCTCCACAAAATACACGCAACGCATTTCGACTCATAGATTAAATTCTAATGAACAAGCTGAACTTTCACTGGACTAAAATGATACACACAATTACTGCTAAAAATTAAGACAATTGGATCTGAATGACTGAGAGACACTAACTGGACACCCACAGGCCAACCTTCAGCTCAGGACTAGCCATGCATGCATCTCCAAATACCCGCGCCGATCGTGTCATCCGATAATCACAAGAAACACCTGTCTCTCATTTTAGCCTTTTGCACCTTCTGCACTCGTCCATGTTACCATCACCATCCAGTGCCGTAACGACTGGCGCAGGTGATCACGCATCTGACCAGCACAGTGAATTCAGCACGCAACAGTTTGTGGTGAACTGATTCATGACAAGCAGAATGTGGCTAAAGCCCTTCGGCAGCAAGTGAACAAGGGGGAAGCACAAACAGATCACAGTCTGTAGGGAATGGAGCAACAGGAAGTAACCAGGGGATCTGGAAGACACTCAGTGGAAAAGCTAAATGTATACAGAGACTGCTACTGGTACTGTAACAAATTGTCACTTTTCACTGGCAGAGCTGATCTGTGACAAATTGTCACTTTTCACTGGCAGAGCTGATCTGTGACAAATTGATTATTTTGTCTCAAATAAAAACATAATTGTGTGTGTGTGTGTGGGTGGGTAATATAATGATACCCTTCAGAACATGCTGAGTATGTGCTCCAACACTGTCAACTGTATGCTGACAACAGAGATATGCAATCTGGCCTGTTCCAACCACAATGAAGACAAAACTGTATAGTACACGAGAGGATATGGATTGCACGATAGCTTTCATAAAGGCTACCGGCCTCCTGATATAAGTTTTCTGACAGAAAGATTGAAGAAGAAGATGCCCTTTAGGTCTGCAACTGCAACCAGTACCAAAGCTGTCATTAAGGGGTAGTGGCCTGTGCCCAAAGACTTCATGCTATCAAAATCCTACAACTGACAGATAAATGGCTTTCTTAGACCAACAGGATTCTTCTTCTTCTTCTCTTCCACCTTGTACCTCAGCCAAGTTTTGGTGGGAGATGTAACATTCGTTGATGAGTTCTGTCAAGAGCACTATTAAGACTGATGTTAGTTAGTCGACAGATTATCCTCACTGCATGTCGAACCACTCAGTCCATAAGTGCTCGGATCCCATCCTCAGTGAATCCCGCAGCGTGTAGCGGCTAACGACACCAGTTCTGTGTTGGTTTCTTATTCTTCTTTGGCTACCCGAGTAGTGTTCTTGTTTGGCAATACCCCTGTTTAACATGTTGTTCTTGCAGTCTGACCATGGTTGCGGATTCACAGTTCTCTGTTGGTTCACGCAAACATCTTAACTCTCTTAGCGCATTCAGTATATCAGCCTGGTCCATGGCTTGTCTGGCTTTCACAGTAGCCTCACCTGCAAGCTTGCTCGTTTCCTTGTACCCTCACATATCCAGGCATGAAAATGAAACTAATCCTTGTCAGCCGTGAATTCTGTAGAGCCACCAACCACTGCCTTCGGACCCAGCCTTTCTCTATCTTCATGAGCAAACTCATTGAGTCACCGAGAAAGCATACTCCAGTGAAAGTCTGTGTCTCTAGCCATGTTACTGCTTTAGTCACAGCCATGACCTCCATAGTCAGGCTACTTGTAGTTACGGCAAAAACTCCAGAATCTTCCTTCACAACTCTCCCTCCAAACTGATCCGTGAAAGCCCACGAGCTTCTAATGTGGCGGATTACAGATCCATCTGTGTAAATGACAGCATCACCCTCTAGAGCATTCTCGAAAATCAAGGCTTGAACTTCTGTTTCCACAGCAGCCAGACTCTGTTGTCTGCATTTTCTGTCTAGTTGGATGCAAGCAGAAAAAAATGTACAGCACTCTGAAGACACTGGCACCCACTCCTCGCCGGGTTCTATGTCCTCAAGTGAACATACCTGTATTAAGACTGATGTTCATTTCTGTAAGGCTGTTCTTAATGAAATCACTCCATATTTTCTGAGGTCTTCCACTCGCTCTATACCCGTTGTAACATTTTAGTGTGGCTCGCTGGGGCAGAAAGTACCAGGGCATTCTTGTTAGGTGTCCAAACCCCTTTATTTGTTGTTCTTTGATGACTTGTAAGACAGGCTTTATTCCTAGCATTCGTCTGATTTCATATTCTGTCTGTCCTTGAAACTCCTAAGGCTTTTAATCTCTGTTGTTATAATTTTATGTTCATTATAGGGGATGTTAGTGTCCACGTCTGGTACTGATAGCATAGTGTTGGCCAAAAAATAGTTCTGATAAGATTCACTTAAGTACTCCAGGGTATCTGCTTGTGTGTCAACAGGGAATATAGTTACTTACTTGATTAGCAATAGGATTAAGGTTAAGAAAGCTGTAAAACAACACAAAATTTCAACCTACCTCTTTCTGTTTATACTGCTCCATGTCTCTCAGTGCTTCTTTCTGTCTCAACTTTTCCTGTGCTAGTCGCTCTGTGTATGCAAACACATGTATTGGTGACATTACAACAATATCTACTTTACAATTATCTTTTCTAGTCGGCATCTGTGGCTTAGGCGTAGCGAGCACGCTTGGTAATGCCGGTGTGCCTGGTTCCATTCCACTTGCAGGTGATTCAGCAACACACAGCCATGCATTGGTTTCGACAGCGGTATCAAAAGCCAACTGTTCAAAAAGCAAAAGGGCAAACTACTGAATGTATAATTTGCCTAGAAAAACAGCACTGGCCAAAATATGCTGGGCTTAATGTCCTACAAACTAACTTATTAATGTGATGGGTGGGAAACATCTTCCTCCTTCTCCTCCTTTTGCCTTTAAAAGGGCGGTTAGCAAAATACGTTGTGGTTTACAGCTAGGCTGTGATATCTGCACATTTCAGTCTAAGGCCCCAATTTCAACAACCCCCTAATTAATCACCTAGCATGACCTGCTTGTTGATTGTCAGTGGGTCTGTAACCTCTTGCCACCCACCCCCATGAATGAACCAATCAAGAGCTGACATCACTGCACTCGAGACATTTCCACATCTGCTCCGTCCCCTTCTTCAGTAACCATCTAAGAGTTGCCAAGCTAATGGTAACAGTTACAACCTGACTGACAGTCTGCCTCTGTTTCCCCTTCAGTTGTGTGAATATCTCCCTAGAACCTCTACTCAACCTCCTCCCGGTTAAATTAACCTTTCAGTGTATGGATTTCCTATCTGTTCTTCTGTATACCACCAAATATGGAGAACCAAAAGAAAAAAAACCCAGCTAATTTTAACCCCCTTTTCACGCCTTTAGGTGCATCCGGAATATGGTAAGAGCACCCATATTTTTACAGACCAATCGGCACTAGGTGGATAATGTGGTCAGCATTACGTCGGCCATCTTTACTTACCTAGGACATACATTCAGGTACCAATTTAGGCTGGGTCAACCTGCAACGCCCTATACCATGATAAAAATCCACGCAGCCAGCAGTGGGTTCTAATCGCGGTACGTTGGAATTACGAGTCGGACTCGCAACACCTAAACTAACAAGAATAACAATAACAAACAAAAAAAACATCAGCGAGAATAACAGCAGAAGCAGCAAGAATAACAACAATAAAAATATCATCAGCAAGAGCATCAACATCAGCAGCAACAACAACAACCTACCATCAAACTGTGAACCCTTTAAGGTGAGCTCTGACTGTAAATGTGTGACCTGTTCCTTGAGATCATAAATCTGTTCCTGCTGCTGATGACACTTCCTCTCCAGGTCATCAACCTAGACAACATTCATCATTATATATCAATGAATGAATTGAGGTCATACGAGATAAAGTCGGCACAGAACCAATTCTAAATTACATAGAAAGACAGCAAATCAAATGGTTTGCCCACTTGGAGAGAATGCCTCCTGATTCTTTACCATTAAAGGCATATACCAAAAGAGGAGAGGGAAGTAGAGCAAGAGGTAGACCAAGAACAAAAGGGAAGGATAACATCAGAGAAACTCTACAGCACCACGATGTGTCTTTAGTCAAAGCAGCCAGAAAAGCACAAAGCAGGACCTTATATCTCCCTCAACACCCAAAGCGGTAAAGAAGGACGTAAAGAAGAAGACGAATGAATCAAGGATGGACATCACTGCACTTGGAGCATTCACTCATGTGCTCTGTCCCCTTTATCAGAAGCAATTTAAGTTCCCATATTTATAGTGCCAGTTGCAAACCGACTGAAAATCCACCTGTCTTTTACCCTCTATGTGGAAAACTGTCCAGACCCTTTGCCTACTCCCTACTGAAACAGTCTTTGAAAGTACAGATACGCTGTCTGTTCCAGTGTCGGGTCGCACAAACCCCTTCTAAGTTGCAGAGGTGTTATATTTTCCTTATTGTCAATGCTTTAACCGCTCCCTCTTTTCTTGTCTTCTCACCGCTCTGTTGTGTGATTATTTTCACATTCAACTACCCGTGCGACGGTTCGGGAGTATGCAAACAGCGGTTTTTTTTTAGGGAGAGGGGAGGGGGGATTTAGGTAGAAAAACAAAAACATCACAGTTTCAATAATCAAGAATCGTCACCCCTGCATGCTTGCCCCTGCAGTACTTCTTAATTGTACACAGGCAGCGGCAGCGTCTGAAGCAGACTCACAAACTCCCACAAACATTATATGCGCTGGCTGAATGCCAAACCAAGCCATATCATAACAACCCCACAACACAGGAGAGGTCCTACGACCTGATGAGGCATTAATGGCAAGAGAAGTCACTCACTTTCTGGGGCTAAAAATATAAAATGAACCATTTTATTGTGTGGTCACAAATGCTGATGTTCATAAGTTGCATAGATCGCAAGTCAAAGAGAAGTGTATAACACAGGTATGCTATATGAATAATAATTGACTAATCTAATGGTATTATTTCTTCTTCCTTGATATGACCTTTCTGATACTGTTTAATTCAATTTCCCTATGATTTTTTTTGAAATGGTTGACATTCTGTAAACAACGTAGGTAAAGATCATTTTCACGTCTTTCAGAATTTGTTTACATACCACTCAGACTTGATGGCCGGTATCTTCAAAATGTCTACTTAAAAGAAAACGACTTAGCACCAACTTTATTCTGGTCTGTCCTGAGAGCTTGAGTCAATAAAAAAAAAAAATCTTAACAAGAATTTAAACCAGTGACTAGTGGACAAGTAAGCCAGTCCCTACTCTACTGCAGCATTCTCACACTCAGTACTTTCTCCATTTACAGGCTTCACATATTAAATAAATAAATAATTAATCTTTTTATTTCTATAACTCTGTATACCATATTCTGTTTACCGCTGTAAACCTTACCTTATACTGTTTCTATAACTCTCTATTCTGTACAGTACTGTTTCTATAACTCTCTATTCCGTACAGTACTTTTTCTATAACTTTCTATTCTGAACAGTACTGTTTCTATAACTCTCTATTCCGTACAGTACTTTTTCTATAACTTTCTATTCTGTACAGTACTGTTTCTATAACTCTCTATTTTGTACAGTACTTTTTCTATAAATCTGAATACCTTACTGTAATTTGATTCTAAAACGCATATCTTCACTGTTTACTGTTTTTATAACTGTATACCTTACAGTATTCAGTTTCTAAAAATCTGCATACCTTACACTATTCTAACTCTTTAACCCTGCATACATACTGTTTTCTGTTTCTTTAACTGTGTACACCATGCTGTATTTTGTTTATATTATTGTATAGATGAACGTGTTGGCTCTGTGGCTGTCGATGCGAACGCTTCGTAATGCTGGGGTGCCGGATTCAATCCCAGCTGCGGGACATGCGCCTTGGGTTGGTTTCGACAGTGGTATCAGGGGGCTGACCGTCCAGAAAGCAATGACAAACTACTGGACATAAATTTGCTGAGAGAAACCACACAACAGCCAGGGGCTGCTTTGGTTGGTTCTGCAATGTCCGGTAAAGGATACACAACTGACCTTTAATTGTTAAACATATTCTATTTCTATAACTCTGTATACCTTATCTTATTCTGTTCCTACAACTCTGTACTCATTAAAATATGATGCCTCCATAACTCTCTATAACTTATCCAAATCTGTTGTTTAAAACCCGTCAAGTCTTACCTTACTCTGTAGCTGCATATTTTTGTCCTGTCCTTCAGATATTTCTTTCAGGAACTTCAGCTCCTCAGTGGCCCTGTCCTGCAGGAGACATAAGACAACTGATGAACTTCAAAACTTTACAATGTTTACATCGGCCTGCTAAAAAAGCCTTATAACCAATCAAGTGCACTCCTATTGCATCTATTAAAACAGACAAAATTACAGTCTGGTATTTATGTAGGAGCAACACAGCTGGTTTACTTGTCATCTCATCTAACCTATCTTGATCCTTTTAAACCCAGAGGCGATAAGGTAAAGTATAGTTTGCTTGTCATTTAATTTTGATCCTCTTGTACTTTGTGGTTGTGAGGGTAAAGTATAGTTTGCTTGTCCTCTTACCTATTTTGACCCTCTTGCACCTTCTGATATTGAAGTGAATGATAATTTGCTTGTCATCTTATCTTTATCCTTTTGAACCTGGTGGTGTTGAGATAAAGTATAGTTTGCTTGTCATCTCATCTTGATCCTCTTTTACCTTGTGGTGTTCAGATAAAGTATAGTTTGCTTGTCATCTCATCTTGATGCTCTTTTACCTGGTGGTGTTCAGATAAAGTATAGTTTGCTTGTCATCTCATCTTGATCCTCTTTTACCTTGTGGTGTTCAGATAAAGTATAGTTTGCTTGTCAACTCATCTTGATGCTCTTTTACCTGGTGGTGTTGAGATAAAGTATAGTTTACTTGTCATCTCATCTTGATCCTCTTTTACCTTGTGGTGTTCAGATAAAGTATAGTTTGCTTGTCATCTCATCTTGACCCTCTTGTACCTTGTGGTGCTGAGGTGAAGTATAGTTTACTGGATAGAGTCCTTTTGTGTGCTTCATATACAAGGTCCGACAATTAAGTAATGCGACTGATTTTATTATGGCTAAGACAAAGAGGCTATCTATGAAGCAAAGCATGGAATCTAAAGAGGCAACATTCATCTATAATCTGGCAGCTTTTCATCGCCGCTCGATAAGCAGACAACAAACAAGCCACCATTTTGCTGACCCAGTCAGAGGTGCATTGTTACAAAATCAGCGTGGAGCAAAAAGCTATTTCTATCCTCTGCAAGTCTGAGGATTTAAAATAAAAATCTCAGCCTACACACAAAAGAAACAAGACACACATGTAAACACAGAGAGGACATGAGACATTCAACCAACATCACCGCCGCTGTATGTTGTGTACCTCTTTCATCTTGTGAATCTCATTGACATGGCTCACTGCCATTTCCTGCATCTCCAGCTTCAGTCTGTTTATCACGGAGTTCAGATCACTGACCTTCTGTTCCGACAAGGTCAGTTCTGTCTCGGCCATTGATAATCTGTAAACAAAATTATAATCAGTTACAAAATGTCCCTGATTGTTTCTTCATGTACACGAAATATGACCTAGATGTCAACACAGCATACTATACTACCGAACCCTGCTCTCACAACCGCCAAGTTACATAGTCCATAGAATCTTGATGATGTTTTCTAATTAATCATCATGATCAGACAATAGTCGGAAGACTAGTTGAATTAAGTAATTACACAATTCCCTGCTCTCACAATCACCAGGTTACATACTCCATAGATTCTTGTTGAAGTTGGTGAATTAAGTCATTTCACCACATCCTGCTCTCACAATCACCAGGTTACATACTCCACAGACTCTTGTTGAAGTTGGTGAATTAAGTCATTTCACTGTCATCTATTCTCACAATCACCAGGTTACATACTCCATAGACTCTTGCTGATGTTGTTGAATTAATCAGCATCATCAGGCTACAGAGTGCGAAGAATCTTGCTGAAGCTGTTGAACTATGTCGTGTCACTGTCCACTGGCTCTCATCTTCCTAAGCTTGGTCCGAAGACTGGAACTGAAGATGATGATTAGATCACTTCACAACACGTTGATCTCATCATCATCACAGATGTCAGTCGGACACTGCCTCCATCTGATTGGGTCACCTGGAATTCCCCCTTTTCCACCAATTCCTTCAGCTTAGCATTTCTGAAGCCTAGTGTTCTTGTATGTATTTGTCATGTCCAAGTTATTCACAACTTTCTCTCTGCATGGGCTCTAAAGCCCCACCCGAGCTGGGGAAGGGGAGTGGGGAATAAGAACAGAAGACCCACTGTTCTTCAAAAAAGACAACTAATCCAGGATTTGATAAAATCAGATGTTGAGTTGAGTCAAGAATTGACATCACAGCACTCGGCACCTTCCCATGCATGCTCCGTCCTAATCTTCAGCAGCCAGCGCAGAGTTCCAATACTGATAGTACCGGTTATATGTCTGTTTTGCCTTTCCTCTGACTGTAGTGAGCCGGCTAGACACTCTAGTTACACCCAAATGCCTCATTCTCTCCAGGCCATAATATCAGATGCCTTGGCTGAAAGATGCAGATATTACAGTCCAGCTATAAACCACAACACAATGTGCCAACTGACCTTTTAAATGCAAATGCAGAAAAAGAGGAGAAAGAAGAAGAAAAAGAAGAAGATGTATCCTGTCATTTGATTTTTGCTGACTGTATCTAATGTCTGTATCTAATGTCTGTTTTAATGCTGTTGGCTTACTTTGCTGCCAAAGAATTGAAAGCTCCTTTCCTTTCATCCAGTGCCATCTGCAAACTGCCAATGTGCTGTGTTGAAACCCTGATGGAAACAACATTCAACAAAGCTCAAATACAACAACATGCAAAACTAAAACACAAATATGCACATGGTTTATATAATGATGTAGTTGATTTTGTTCGCAATAAACTCGGCCAATTTAAGAGGTATACATTATTATTAGGCCAGGGGAATGTGTGTGGGTGTGTGTGTGAGAGAGAGAGAGAGAAAAGAGAAGAGAGTAAGAGACAGAGATTAATCAAATGGGGAGGCCTCAGAGACAGTTGCTGGATCAGTAATAAATAGAAAGGCTTTAATCAGTCTGCTGAAAAGAAATCTCAATTTTTTTTACCTGTTCGCCTGCCTCATACACTTTAAAGTCCTGGTATAGGTCGTGTGTTAAACATTGGTTTGGTTAACTTCTCACTCATATTACTGCTCTTTCTAAATCTCTTGAACATTTCACATGATTAAAGTATTTCCGAGACATAAAACTGTTTATAAGCTACAATGTTTTCATGTTCAGATCTTATAGAAGGTCAGTAATTTTCCATTCCGGAACAATTGCATCGTCAGCATTTTCCATTATTATGTCCGTTATTTATTGACTATGATTAGTGTTATGGACTAACAGTCTGTGTGTTCGGTGCAAGTGAAGTAATATAATAAAAATGGACAGACAAGAGTTACCAAATATACAGGGACAATGACAGTAGTGTAAACAAAAATGTGGCTTGAGACTGATGAACAGAACTTGACCAGACACAGGGAAAATGGAGGATATGTTTAGTTTAGAGTGAAAGCGAGATAACTGACAGAAAGTATACATTTTGGAAGAAACATAATTAATGAACTACCTGACAGTGTCTTCTAGCACAGGGGTTCTCAAACGTTTTTGGCCATTGCACCCTTGTCGGGCTAAAAATATTTCGTGGCATACCTACACTTAAAGCGGTAAAATTCTTATGAAAAGAAGAAAAAATAGTGCACATTTAATGTTCAGTTGTCTTTAATGCGATAAATGAAACTGGATGAATTTTCTTTATATCCTTTTAACTTTTAGAAATTCTCTCATCATGGATGACGCTGCCTGAAGAGATAAAGTGTGACATTTGAAGATTTCTGAACCTGTGTGTACTAAATCAGAATTATTGCATTCCAGATGAATCTTTAATTTTGATGGAACCAAGGAGCCGTTAGCAACACTTCTATGGCAGTTAATGCATTGCCCTTCCCATACCTTTTTGTTGCCAACCGAAACAAGGCCAAACAAAGTGAAGTAAGGCTAATATTTTCTTAGTTTTCCTTTGATTTCTTTTTTTTTATCATCTTTCCATGAACTGAGGCAGGTCAACTTGGATGGCTTTGGCTCGCAGCTGTCTGCTGAGACAATGTAACCACAACTTTACTTATCGACTGTACCTTAACGAATACAGGTAGAGGATCAGTCACACCTTCAGATAAATACAATTCTTAGCACGTTGCAGTTGGCATTTTCCGCAGCACCCCTGCCATGCACGCACAGCACCCCGTTTGAGAACCTCTGCTCTAGCCTAAGGCCTAGCATATTTCATTTTTGACAGGTGTTTGTTTAGCCTTTTCTAACTTTTGACTTTGGCTATTCCCAGTTTACCTGCAAGGCAGCAAGGTTTTTGCATCTCCTTCATCACAATTACAATATCTCTAGGATGATTTTGTGAGACCAAAACAACAACAAAAACAACAACAGAAAACAAAACAAGTCAATGAAATGCTCTAAACAGACATGTGAAACATTTGTTATGTTTCCCTCACAGGATATTGCAGAACCAGCCTCAACAATTTGTAAGTTGTGAAAACAAAGTTCAAAACAAAGGTTTGGATTTGAACAACAGCAACAGTGAAACAGAGCGAATGAGCAAACGTACTTCTGGGACTTCCTCATGATATCTTCCTGTTTGTCGATGGTTGTTAGCAGCTCATTCAACTACAACACACAGCAATAGAATACATGGTTATCGACACAATACATGGTTATCTACATAATATTTGGTTATCTTAAACAATCTGTACACTAATAAAAACATAATAAAGGGTTATCTACACATTATTTGGCTATCTTAAACAATCTGTACACTAATAAAAACAGAATAAAGGGTTATCTACATAATATTTGGCTATTTTAAACAATCCGTACACTAATAAAAACAGAATTAATGGTTATCTACATAATATTTGGCTATCTTTAACAATCTGTACACTAATAAAAACAGAATTGTAATGATGCTATAAATAGGGATAACGTCAGGGGATGACTGGCATAATTGGGTAAGTCCCTGAGAGCATGGGTTTCACGGAGATATGGTGAAACGACAAGAGAGAGTGAGTCACGTGTGAATGCGAGATCTGGGGGATTGAGAATGAGGTGGTGATTCGGTGACTGGGCCCCAGACTGGAAGGATGTGAAGCTGAATCAGTGAAGGTAAATCCAGAATGAAGAGTCCACGTGGATCTGAATCAGAGTCAAATGAATGATCGTGGAGGCCAGCCATTGTGTTACACGGTTTGATTGTTGAGCCAGCCGTGTATATGCCAGTGTCCATCGTCTGAAGCATGTCTGGAGCCTTAATGCGTGAGCAAGGCGAGATTGCCCGAATGGTGTAAGTTGGTTTTTCTGTTGATTCGTGTCTTGTGCTACAGTGATAATAAACCTGTGAAATGTGTCAGCTGGTGTCGACCGTCGTTTGAACTTGTGTGGTAGTGGAGAGAAATGCCGTCTGGTTAGAATGAGCTGTGACCTAACACCTAGACAACAGAGTCAGTGTTGAATCTGCACTAGAGAGATCAAGTGTGGAGGAGACACAAGTACATTCATTACATTGGAGGCTCGTCCTAAGTGGGAATACATTGTAATTTCTAAGTATGAATTATATTAGAGGCTTGTCCTAACTGTGGCAGTACATTAGGCGTAGTGTTGTTGTGGACAGACGTAAAATTTAGACCATGAGAAAGAAATCAAATTACATATTATGCAGCACATCGTGATATCTTTTAAGCCAGGAAAAGAATTAATGGGTTGCCAAATATGAATGGGCTTCAAATAAAAACGTTGAAAGTCTGACACAATTTGCAAAAACCATGCCATTGTCTTGTAAGCTGTCAATATTTTTGAGGACGTCAAGAGTGTTAAGCACACTAAATCATGGTGCAGACGTAATATAACAGTTTTAAGATAGCTTTCCTACTTTTTACATGCATCAAAGGGACCAAAGACCTGTTAATCATTTTCTTTAAAATCAACGAAGGGGTGAAACTTATAGAAATTCATCGATGAATAAAGGTCCAGTATGATAATGCATGTCTGTCAGTCCTGCACTTGGTGGTTTTCCTGAATGAGGCCCTGAGTACTTGAAATAAACTTTGCGGTCAGTATACACTTTCACTGATGACAAAATGAATAACAGAATGCTGCTCCTTTTTGGTACATGTCGAACGTGGGGCAGCAATTTTTAAACTGTCATTATGACAACACCATACTCATCTGAACTGTGATGTCATATGCTTAACTCTCTTGACATCCTTAACAATAATACTGACAGGTTACAATACAACGGCATTGTTACTGTAATTGCTATCACACTTTTAAGGTTTTCATTTGAAACCTTCCTATATATATATGTTTAATAACAATAGCATTTAAAGCAGCTAAACAAATGGGGCATAGGCCCTCAACTAAATCACGCAAAGTAATTCTATCCTTTGCTACTGTAGGCAGCTAACCCCCTGTTCTCCCCATCTTTTTAAGTCCACTCTCTAGTTCCCTTCTCTGTGTTTTTTGGTCCGCATTTATTTCTACATCCCTGTGGGCTCCGTTGCAGACATTCCAGTTATTGTGTTCTTAGGTTTTCTCAACATGTGTCCTATTCAAAGCCAGTGACTTTTCTTCACCTCTTGGTCCACTGGAACTTGTTAGTTCTCTAGTTCTCTCCCAAAGCTAAACATTAGTGTTTTTATCACACCACTGAAGTCCCTGTGTTCTGCTCAGGCACCAGTTAATGATGTTTGTAGTTTACTGGTGACTGTTTTAGTTGTTCTCCATGTTTCCGCTCCATACAACAGTACCAATTGGACATAAGAATTACCAATTTAAAATGTAGTACTAGTTTTAATTTCTTTTGGCCTTCACCAATTTCCTAGTGCTATGAAACATGTAAAGACTGTAAATAGGCTACTATACCAAGAAATGCTCCCAGGTCTTGTCCAGAGTCAGACCTGGTTCAGGTATTGTGACCTTAAAAGCCTATTTCAAATTAATCTTCCTCGTGTATGTTCAACAAACATGTTGTGAAAGGTGATTAATCAGATGTGTTGGGCTGAAAGGTATAGATATCGCAACTTATCTGTAAATCACAACACAATAACTGGACTTTAAAAAAAAATAATAACCAGCCTTGCTACAAAAAGGTAAAAGGAAAGAACCTGTAACTTCTTGTCCTGTTCCATGTCTCTGATGTGTTTGGCCATCGTTTGAGTTCGTTTCTGATTCTCATCTACAATTGTTTGTCTGTCTGCATTGTTCTGGACAGCAGTCTCTGCATCAATACAACAATGTCTCTCAGTTAATGTACAACAATAACAATTGTTGGAGTTTTCTTTTATTTATGTGAAAGCTGCACAGTGGTGGTTTTATAGGTCAATACACCATCAGCAAATATCCACAAAGAAAAGTAAAAAGGTAAAAGGTAAAGTCGGAAGATGTGAATCAGTGTTATTGCACATGGTTATAAACCATAAGTGCTCTACCACCAGTACGGACAGCTGATAAGAAACTATCCTCCTGTGTCGCCATCCCCATGTAACTCAGTGGCTACAGCGACGCTCCTCCATTCACCCCAAAGTGTCAACTCTATTACCCATTTCCTAGAGGCTGGGTGAACCCCATAAATCGCCCGGTTTTGAGCACCGGCCGAGGCTGCAGCGAGTCACAGCTGGATTTGAAAGCGAGCCTCCTATTGGCTGCACTAACGCAGCCCCTTCACAAAGAAAAGTGATTATCTACATCAGAAGGAGACAATCTACATACTTTGGTCCTGCTGTGGAATGCTGAGAGGGGAGGGGGAAACTGAAATATGTTGTGAAAATGTAAAAGTCGGAGTGGAAAAGAAGCAGAAGTGAGCATGCTGGACAGGTTTACATCATGGCATAGAAAAATTTCTTCAGGAATATTCTCCTGGGCTCATGACCCATTTTGTTGAGCGTTCCTGGGGCGAAAGCGTCATGGGGAAGGAACAGTTTGTCAGCCGCTGCTTGATAGGTAGCACTGGCTAATGTCATCTGTGTCCGTGTAGAATCTCTTTAATGTCATCAATCCATCTTCACCCTCCAGGTTTTAAGCTACATCTTTTTAGGTGTAGAGCCTGTAATGATATTTGTTGCAGCTGCATCTAATATGATGATAAAAACCCTTCGATCTCTGCTTCTTAATACATTTTTTCTCCCTTTATCTCAGATGATTAAGACAGCGGCTTTCCTCAGCCATCTCATTTCACAGGTGGTAATTTTACATTACCTTTGATAATGACAAAATGCTTGGCATTTGTAGCATAGTATGAATATGCTGTTTATAATCTGCTACTTGGCAGTCATAGCATGTCTTAATAATAGTGTCAGCTGGTGTAAAAGTATACTGGTTTTTTTTAAAGAACTTGTTTCTATTTCTTTGTCTGTTCTGCTATTCTCCAAGAATATACTTCCTAAATATTTAAACTCTGTAACCTGTTTTAGACTTATACCATTAAATCCTATATGTAGCGGACAACAATTCTACTGATTTCATTACTTCAGTTTTAGTAGTATTTATTTTCATATTATATCTTCTGTATGTTTAAACTGAGTCTGTAATTCCATCACAAGGGGAATATATTAATCTGATAGTGAAGACATTAGATAGGTACAAGCATAATTATGACCAATATACAAACACTTACATGGAGATGAGATCACACACAACTGACCTATAGACTTGAGGATGTCCGATGGAATGTTGTTGCCTGCCAGTTCCAGCCTTGATATGGTCTTATTGCTCTGAAGCATCTCCAGCAAGGACCGACCACCCAGTAAGCCACAATTATTCCATCTGAGATCTGTTTTGTAAATTTATAATTTATGTTTATGGTGGGCTACAGTAATTTGCAGCATCAAGGCTTATGACATAAAATGAAGAAAGAAAAAAGCAGACCAATTTTTAAGAGTTTTCTGGGAAGGTAAGGCAATTAGTGGAGAACTTATCCACATAGCAACCTCCTGATTTCTACAGACATATTTAATATACCCACATAGAATCTATTGACCCTTATATACATCCCTCCACCTATGCATGCCTCCCTATCTCCATACATTTTCTCACATTTGTACACAAGTCTTGATATTCACACTGGATCTCTTACATAAGTTTCCCTCACATCTCCATGACACTGTTAGACAATTATATAATGACTCTAATTTTATTAGGGCTAGGAGACTCAAACAGCTCTGTGACAGTGTCTTCATGCTGAAGAGACGCCAGAACATGTTTTGCAACAAGAACATGTTTTGCAACAATACCCTTTCCTGGAAGAGCTGCAAAACAACATGTAGCCACACCCAGTAGACTTGTGACAACTAAGCTGCAACAATAATGTATCGGCCCACAGAGCATTACAGTTTATGGTTTATAGTAGACTAAGTGCATGTCCAGAGATCGCTGAAGGAACAGATGGTTAGCTAGTGACAAGTGTGTTGTTACGTATGCAGCATGGAGCAAACAGTGAACATTAAACTGAGAAAAAATACTACTGAGACAGTTGAATTGATGAGAGAAGTTTATAGGGATCAATGTTTACCTCATGCTCAGATATTCATGTGTCATTCACAATTCAAAACTGATGGGGAAATGACTGACGATGAAGCTAGGCCAAAATGTCCAATTTAATTTCATAATAATGATTGCCAAAGTCAGAGAATGTATAGACAAAAATTGATGTCTGAACACGAGGATGACGGCAGATGAAGCTGGTGTTATCTGACAGAGGATCAATGACATTTTAGTGGAAGATATGGACAAGAAAAATGTTCCTTCCCAGTTTGTGCGACATTCTGTGCCTGGTGACCAACAATAGATGCAGTAGTCTCTACTGCACGATAATGCATCGGCCCACAGAGCATCCAAAAACAAACCCCCGTCATCCCATCAACCCAATGTTTATTTTCTATTCTGGAAACGAAAGTTACAGTAAGAAAAAGAGCCTCTTTGACAATACTGATGGCATCCAAAGGGCCGTAGCAAACTAATCTAAGGGTCTAAATAAAAGGACATTCCAGTATTTGTTAAATTGTGCCAATCGCTGAATCAATACACACTCACTTACACCAACGTTTGTGCACATACACACACAAATTTATTCAAATAAAAAGCATATAATATCCTGGTCTTCTATATATGTTTAATTTTTAATTAGCTCATTATTGAATTGTTGCATAGTGTACGAGTCTTAACATTAACACCTCTTGTTCTTCGCATTCATCAGTTGTTCATCCCTTTCTGTATGTTATAGTTGTTCAGAATTTATTTTCTATTTACCTACATTTTACAGATCTGACTTGTTTGTATGTAGACTGTTAGCACCTTACCTCTAGGCAGATGAATACTGACTTAGAAGAAAACAGCAATAATTAGTTGGTTTTACGACACGTTTGTTCGGAGGGCAGTGGCTCTATTCTTTTTCCGCCCATAATGAAGTCCTGGAACCCACATAGGGAACATTCTAGAGCCCCCAGGACCCACACAGGGAACATTCTAGAGCCTCAGGACCCAGATAGGGAACATTCTAGAGCCCCAGGACCCACACAGGGAACATTCTAGAGCCCAGGACCCACACAGGGAACATTCTAGAGCCCCCAGGACCCACATAGCGAACATTCTAGAGCCACAGGACCCACACAGGGAACATTCTAGAGCCCCAGGACCCATATAGGGAACATTCTAGAGCCCCAGGACCAACACAGGGAACATTTACACTCTTTCACATAAGTTCTCTCACATCTCTGCATGAGAAAACAAAAGCCACCACCCAGTGACATACCAGAGAAAACACAAGCCACCATCAGCACATACCAGAGAAAACAAAAGCTATCACTCAGTGACATACCTGAGAAAACAAAAGCCACCACTAACTGACACATCGTAGAAAACGAAAGCTATCACTCAGTGACATACCTGAGAAAACAAAAGCCACCACTCAGAGATACCTGAGATCACAAAAGCCACTACTCACCCAGAGACCTCAGATGAACATTTCTTTTCAGCGCGGCTGCCAGTTCTGCAACACTGTCATGGCTAATTTGGTTGTTGCGAAGATCTAATGCCTTCAGCGAAGTGTTTGAACCCAACCCATCGCAGAATACAGCAAAGGAGTTGTCCAGCATTCCCATGCCATTCCATTCCAGACATAAACTTTCAGAAGAAAGTGTTTTTAAGTAATGAATGAGAGGAGGGCTACAGTGAATGTGTTATGTTATGTAGAAGATAATGTTATCATAATAAATTATAAATGCATCAGATAATATAGGGATATGTTTGGCATAAGAGGCATTACAATGATAAGTTAGTTAGTTACTTAATTAGTTAGTTAGCTGGGTTATCACCTTTGCACTCCAGACATGTCTATAGGTGCTCAGATCCTCGACTTTCTTGAAGGTTACGTGCGTGTCCTGCTCTGTTGTTTGCTTTCTGCGATGTCTTGCATTTACGTTTTCATTCTGAGAAGGAGAATGCCTGTGACACAGGTTGCAGCACTCTCTAGAAAGGTTGTGTTAGGACCAGTTTCTCCATATTTTTGGGGAGTTAAAAGCGCTGGGGTGCTGAAATATTCAACATGCGATATCAACGGTCTTGCGAAACACCCCCGTAGCCTTGTGCCAAGGTGACAGGTTCAGGAACTAACAATAAAAAGTAAGCTAGTGTGTATATAGGCAGGGTGTGGGGAGACTAACATTATGTGTTCCTAATTATGTACACAATACCTGATGAGACATTTGTTATGCTGCAACATCTTGCCAAGTGCCTCTGTAGCTGCACCCCGGATGTTGTTTCCCTGTGGTCAACGGTCAAAATTAACATCTTTCAGTGAAAAATACAAACATAAATCTATAAAAAAAATGGCAGCACTAAAGAAATTCTTAGATCCACAACTTTAGAGACCCACTTAGTTGGCTGGAACCACTTTGTTGCCTAGAACTGCCTGGCTGGGAAATGCTTGGTTGCCTGAAACTGCTTGGCTGGCTGTGAATCATCTAGAGTTCAATTCTTAAGTGTGACATTCAGGGTTCCTGAGCCTTAAAAAAAGGGCTTGCATCTGTCAGAGTAAGGCTGATGTAGAGATGTTCCTCCTGACATGGTACTGAAGCACCAACTCCATGTGTAGCGAAGATCTCCTCTCTCTCTCAAAGATAACCAGCTGAGTATGCAAGACTGACATTATAACTTCCCACTTGAGGAAAGGCAAGCCACTAAACATCAGTCGAGAACTATGCTATTGGAACTGTCAGCATCTATACATTGAGATGTTTGCTGCAGGGCACACCCAAAATGATATGCTGAAATCAGTAATCAAGAACAACAACCAGACAAGGGATCATCTCCTTTAGGCAGTACAAATATGAAATGCCTCAAACTTGTTACCAGCGGAAACCTAGCTGAAGCTTTGTGCTCTCAGAGTTGCTCTGATGCATACTTTTACTCCAAAAGCAACGAAGCACAATTTGTAATGAGGCTGTTCAAAACAAACTGTTGTAGAATATGCAATCAACAAAACAAAAGAAGGTAGTTTCAACATAATATCTTCTTCTTCTTCTTTGAGTTTGGTTTCGTATGCTCAGATCAAACCATCAGGTGGGTTGCCTCTATGAACTCGCATGTCAGCTGCAGGTCCTTCATGGTTCCCCACAAGCATGCTTTGCACACTTTGCTCTTAGGGCCAGATGTCTTTTTGAAAAACATAATATAATATAAATATAATTATAACATTAATGTGTATTTCTGGATAGAACTAATGTTGTAACATATTCTACAAGACTACGATCTGCTTTATTAACTAAGGACTTGTGGACCACAGACAAAAAACTCACACAAAGTTATTTGGGATTCTCAGGTTTGCAATTACATCCACACATTGTTTCTTTTAGACTAGACATATATATATATTACCTAAAAATCAGTGACAAAGAAGAAGAGGAGGAGGAAGAGGAGGAGAAGAAGTAGACACAGAAGAAGAAGAAGAAGAAGAAAGGATAAGAAAAAGAAGGCAGAAGAAGAAGTAGTAGTAGGAGGAGGAGAAGGAGGAAGAAGAAGAAAAAGAAGAAGAAGCAACACAGGCTAGAGAAGGATGAGTAGGAGGCAGAATAGAAGCAGAAGACTAAGATGAAGAAGAAATGTTATTAGTTAATTAATACACCAAAAAATATAAATGATTTGGTCAGATGATGAGCAGGCAATAAGGATGCTGAAGTTCCATTAAACTGAATGTCTTAGAAAAAATATTTGTAGACAAATTAAGGCAGCTTCAACAAACTAACCTTGAGATCAAGTTTGCGACAGAATGTGTTATAGGCAAGCCCCTGAGCCAGTCCTTTCACAGCTGCATTGTTGAGAGACCAAGCAAAAATTATGTCATGTTACACATGTACCTCAGAGGAGAAGAAGAAGAAGAAGTGTCCTATCTGTTGCAAGAACTTTCCCCAGGACAGAAACATGTTTTTGGTGTCAGACTTGTAGTTGACAGATCTAGAACTGCCTTGTTCTTAGATCCATGTTCCAAGCTGAAAGAACAAAGCAAGGTCACTAAGTTAAACCCTGAGTGTGTAGGGATACATAACATAAGATAATATAACTTTTGTATCTGTTTTCTTTGACAGGGGGAGCCACCATAGAGCAATGACTAAATCAATGATTGTTCAACTCTACGTGCGTGCACCTTTAGTTGAAGTTTTGAGCTGGGCATCAAGCAAAACTGATATTTTGATAAATTTGGTCCAACAGGTTTTTGAGGTTTTAAAACAACAATTGATCAGAACACTATGGCACACAGGTGTAACCCATAAGTGCTCAGTTCTTCTTCTAACTCAGTCTGAGTCCGAAGAAGCTCGCCACAAGGCTCTGTACACCGGCGAGGAATCCCGAAATCACTTTTTTTGGGGGTAGATTTTAAACCCCAAATTTTGCGTTAGGCCTATTTTTTTTTCCCAATTGCAAGGGGGATTTTTTTTAGTCCCAAACTGCACACGGGGTCCGATCTCACTACCCAGAGACCAGGGGAAAATTAAATGAATCCCAAAGTCCGGGTAAAAATCCTCCCCCTTACCGGGGATTTGAAATGGAACCTCTACCTCAGGTGGAATACCAGCTCAGACTGTGTTCTTTCAAATTACGGAAAAACAAAAACCGGGGCTCCAGCAAACTAAGATTTTGGCTAAATTTGGCCTTTGCCCAAACAAAAGACCCGGGTCAATTTCCCCAGGCTTTCAATACTAAATTACCAAATTTTTTTTTTTTTTTTTGGACATTTTGAATGTGAGTTTTTCCCCCCTTCTTGTTCCCTTTTGGGGTTTTTCCTTTTTGTTTTTTTTATTAGGATGATAAAAGTGCATTTCAGACAAGAATAAGACATACCCCTTTGGCGGGTGAAAAATTACTATTGCAAAACTGAATTAAAACATGTGGGGAGTGAAGAAGGAGGAAAGAAGAACTATGACAACATCAAGAAATAACAGACAAGTTATCATTTTATTTACAAGCAAAAACAAGAAAAAGGTGGGTTTTTTGGCTTCTTCCCCTGATACACCCACGACCCTAACGGGCAAAGGGTTTATGTTTGTTAAAGACAACAAAAACTTTTAATTTAAAGCCTTTTTTATGGGGGCTTTTGAGGGGAAAGGGGGCAAAAAAAGCTCCAAACCCAAAAAGGGGGGTACTGGGTTTAAGGGGGGATGCAGGATGAGCCAAAAAACTGGAAAGGAAAAAAAAACCCTTTCAAGTAAAACCTTTTCAGTGTCTCCAGAAAAGCAGTCCTGGGGATCAACGTGTATCTTTTCAAAGTCGGGTGTAAATGTGCGAAAAACTTCCATCATTTTTTTCGGGGGGAGCATCTGAAAATTAAAATAACAATAAACAATAATGTCGAAAAAAAAGGGGAAAAAAAGAAAAAGAACNCGACAGTGAAATTTATACAAGAGACAAAATTGCTGATATAGACAACTTATTTCAGGCGAACGAAAGAAGAAGAAGAAGTATAATGGATCCTCAACAGGTATACGACCAGCCAGAGTCAATCACACACTTGGCAGGAAACTGTTCACGTCACCGACATTCTTCACAAACCGAACTTTAGAAAACTGGTTCATTAGTAAAATCACGACCCGTTAACTAAAATACACTGACTGTATTAAACGCCACACCGGCAACAGCAAGTTGACCTTCATGGCAGTGTTGCCACTTTGGATCTTTTATATCAACCTTTGTTGGCAACAGCAAGTTGACCTTCATGGCAGTGTTGCCACTTTGGATCTTTTATATCAAAATTTAGATCTTTTTCATTGCATTTAGATTCTGTTTTTGACGTTTAGATCGTAAATATTTTTCTAGATATTTTTCATATGGAGTTAAATATTTTATGGATTTTTTTTCTTTCATTGTCAATTTAATAATTACTGTGTAAAATATTTACTACAATATTTTGTTTTTTGTCTGGCACGTACATTGTGACAACTGCCATTACTTGAACTTTGAACTCTCACTGGGGTCAGCGCACAAATATCTGGCAGCCCCGGTACTGATTAATAAAAACGCGCGTAAATCATACTAACTTTGTTTCAACCGTATGCTTACTGTGCTGACTTTGCGTTTCTTTTTCATGTGATTTAAAAAAAAAATAATTGCGTACCTTCATATGTGGCTTTCACTTTGAAAAAACCTTTCAACATGCCAAAAGTAAAGTATGAACAAAAAAAAATGGAAACAGTGGTTGACATTATGACAAAATTAAAAACTGGAGATATGACCAAAGCTTGTTATAAGTACTGCAAGTGTGAAATTAAAGCGAAAATACAAAACTTAAAGAGTCATGCAGAGACTAAAAAAGCATAAAACTGCAGTTTCATTTAAAGATATTACACTGCTCACAAATGTTTTTAGAACTATACTGATAAATGAATCATCAAAAGTTGAAGTGTCAGTCGCAATGTTTTTAATTTGTCACTGCGCAATTTCAAACTGTGACCATTTGATCGATTTGTAAAAAATCTTGGACTAGTTCAATTTGAAAAGTGTGGTGTAGAAAGTATAGTTTAGGAACTGAAGGACCTTTTAATCAGCAAACAGTTAGGCTTGAAGAATTAGGCTGTAATTGGTACTGATAATGCCTCAGTGATTGTTGGTATAAACAATGGCGTTTATGCCAAGCTGAAGGAAGCTAACCCATCGTTAATACTTATAAAATGTGTGCGTCATTCATTGCAGCTATCATTATCACATGCTTCATCTAAATATTTACCAAGCAATTTGGAATACCTTATTGCTGAAACACTTTACTGGTTTTCCAAATCATTTGTCAGACAACAGCAATACAATACATTATATACAGCCTTCAATGATGGTTCCACACCACCGAAAATTCTGTCAGATTGCAAAACTAGATGGTTATAAATTTAACCAGCTGTTGAAAGAATTATGAAGCAATGGCTGAAGTTGAAGACACACTTTGAAATAACAAGACAAAGTGAAAAGTGCTACACAGCTGAAATACTGTATGGAATGTACAAAAAATTTGTTATTCATTCTCTTTTTATAACCTATTCTAATGGAAGTGCAAAAAGTTAATAAACTGTTCGAATCTAAACTTGTTGATAAAGTTAAATTACTTGATGATATACCTCACCTTGCTATTTTACTCGGTAAAAGACTGGTGTTGCCAACTTCTAAAGCTGATTTGCTCACTTGCACTATAGAGAGCTATTTGGCTCCTAAGCCACACCTTGGATATTAAATCGAATCAAAAATTGATGATTTAAAAACAAAAGGACTGTTAACAGAGAATGAATAGAAAAACTTAAGAAAACGCTGTCAAGATTTCCTTATCTCATTATTGAAGCAATTGAAGCAGAGACTTCCTGAAAATCTAGATGTTTTGAAAAATATTTCACTTTTTTCTGTTAGCAATATACTTCAGCAATAAAGGACATACCTAAATATTGTAAAGTTATGAAATTTTTAGGGGCTACTGATAATAGTGTCGCGGAAGCAGAATATCAGTTAACCAAAATAAAGTTAGCTGAATGGACAAACAAAACAGAAACTAAAGCGTTTTGGAGTGAAGTGAGACAATTTAAAGATGCCTCATCAAACAGTCCATTCTGTAAGCTCTTTAAAGTGCCATGTCTGCCATGATACTACCCCACTCAAATGCTGACGTAGAAAGAGTTTGCAGTGCTAGGAATTATATCAAATCTAACCTAAAATCAGTATGAAATCTGACCTCTTAAATGCTATCGTGCCATTAAAATGCGGCCTGATGAGACTAGAGAAATAAGCCTACTGTTCCACTTATAAGTAAATTTGAACAGCTAAAGCATACCAGGGTCATTTTGGATCTGAAGCTTCAACTTCATTATCCAAGCTAAGTTTATCCTGTGGATCTTGTGAGACAGACATCAGTGAAGGTGAGGACATGATTATGAAGGGTAAGTCATAACAAAAGCTATGCAATTTTTGACTTTTTTTTTCAATTTGGATGTTTTTTCTAGATCTTTTCCACGCAGATTTAGATCTTTTTAGATATTTTTTGACACCGTTTTGGATATTTTTGTCAAAGAAAAGTGGCAACACTGTTCATGAGAGGCGGGACTCCATCTTCCCGAGGGTGGACAAAAGTATTCAACAGGCCATACGAAATTTATTTTTAAAATCCAAACTAGTTACATAAACTAGTCAGGGATCAAAACTGAACTACTGCAAAGATGGCGATAATGCTGTTTAACATTATATGGTTAATTTAATATTCTTCTGAAAACCCATATTTTGTTTTTGCTCCAGTAGTCGTACTTGCTGACATGTTTGATAACAATAGAGGATTAACAGCAGCAATTAAATTAATTTTATGCGACACGCAAGACTGTCTGTCCTGAATGGCACTAACAGGGGCTTTTTTACATAATGCAAGGAAACTTTTTGCTTGACCTATTTCTGTTTTTTATTTTTTTACATTTCTTGTATGTATGTATATATATATATATATATATGTGTGTGTGCGCGCGCGTGTGTGTGTATGTGTGTGTGTGTCTTCCCTGTGATGAACGAGAATAAATATTTGAATGCATGTACTTTCCGCTGAATCATACTATACTGTTGGGGGCGGGGGTTGGGAGATGAAAGGCCACTTATGTGGTCCCATGTCGACCCAGCCTTGAATGGGTACTACGTGCAGTCCTGGGAAGTAATGGAGGCCGGCGTGATGTTGACCATATTACCCACTTAATTTATATAAACAATAGAGGTCTAGCCCTATATGCCCAATACGCATGAAGGCGTAGAAAATGGTACTTTACTTTTTTTTTAATAGAACTGGTGTAGTAGACCTTAAACGCCCTGACCTGCGTTGTTGTTTATCGCTTGTATGATCGACCTTTCGGCTGCTCACTTTGTGTCGCAGTCACCGGACCCTCTGTGGAGCCCGGTCTGGTAGTCTTGACACATGTCTGAACCATTCAATCTGTTCTCTTAGTGTAGCTTTACACTGGTTCCATCCCAAATTGTTTCCCGATGAAGTGGGCACTGGTGACACAATGCTCGTCAAATACAAATACTTGTGTAACTTTAGGCTTAAAACAACTTCTTCTGTATAAACAACAAAGTCACGAACTCAAATATCATATTTCTGTACAGGACGGCAAAGTGCAGAACGTGTACAATAAAAAGACAATGTGCGGACACAATTGCTGCTGATAACGTGTGCGGTATTGCCAGCGGGGCTTTTTTCTGGTGTTAGGCGAGAGTACGCAGTACCTGAACCTTTGTTTAGGTATCTTTTCTTTTTCTAATTGTCACTGTAATACCGACGCTTATGCTGTTTTAAAAATCATCACAGAGTAGTAGCCTGACTCCAGCCACGTGTATGCCAATGTTGCAGCTTCAGCACCAGCATCGAAGGATGCCGCCCCTGTCGTGGCGCCACCCTCACGTAAACGAACGATGCCGACACCAGAAGCCACCCCTTTCGTGGCGCTAATACACAAAGCTGCCCTCTTCGTGGTGTCATCACCTGAAACCGCCCCTATCGTGGCGCCAAACTCAACTGAGGCAGCGACCCAGCCAGAAGCAAGGCCACCGAAACCCACCGATGCGCACAAGAAGCAGCAGCAGATATCATACGCACCAGAGACACTGCAGTGCACACGGTGGTATAGGGCGTGGCAAACCGCAGTGACCTGTCTTAGCGGCCCCATATACCGATACTGCTTAAGGACGAACGACTTTAAGGAGTGCCCCCTGGCAAAAGTGGACCAGAATTTCAAGAAGCCGAATACTAACAGGTGTTGGAACTACATAGGCGCTCACAGTGCGAGGTACCTGGGATGCCCTAACCTCAAAGACATAAAGAGAGGGGTGTCTACTGCCGTCGTCAGAAACGAGCAAAGGTACGAGGCACCGAGGCCATCCAGACCGCAAGCCATATACCAACAGCTAAAAGCCAGAGCACCTGAGAAGTTGAATGTGGCCGCCAAAGACGCCAAGCTTGTAAGGGCGATATTGGAGCTGAGATCCGAACTGCAAAAGGAGAAAACCTCTGCCGCTGCTGAAAGAGCAGAGACCATTGTTCCCTAATGCTTGGAGAGATCAAAGCTCTGAAAGACGACAGACTGGCACTCGCCACACAACAAGTAGACAAGTCTGAGAGGAGACCAGATAGAAGGAGAAACACTTCGGCAGAAGGAAAGGTAGAAGAGAAGGATTGCGACTTGCCAAGAATCCAAGAAGAACTGACAGAGGCTCGGTGCATAATAAAAGAACTCAGTGAAATACAGCAGAAACTTCCAAATGATGCAGACAAAATTGACAAAATTGTGGCTGCAGCAGA